GATGGGTCTAAGTCAAGGAAGGAGAAGTGATGATAGAAGCAGGGGTTATAAGCAGAGGGGGAGGAGAATTGAAAATGCTACACTGCTGGCTTAGAGATGGAGAAAGGGGCCATGAACCAAGAAATGCAGGCGGCCTCTAGAAGCTATAAAGGGAGGGAAATAGATCCTTCTCTAGAGCCTCTGGAAGGAATACAGGCTGGCAGTCCCTGCATTTTAGGCCAATGAAACTGATTTCTGACTTCAGAATGGTCAGTTGATAAATTTGTATTGTTTTTAGCTACAAAGTATGTGGTAATTTGTTACAGCAAAAATAGGAAACTAATACAAGCCTTTCTCACTTAGGCTTAGAGACATTCAGCCTGCCGAATGTCCAGCCTGTCGTTAACAGAGGTTAACACTGTGCCCATGATACAATGTCATTTCTTGATAGGAACTACTGGCTACTTGATGGCAAGTTGATTGCATCTACCTGACTAGGATTAACCTGTTTTCTGAATGTAGATTTGCCTTTACTGTCTGCAGGGTTTCATCCAGCACCATTCTCTGTGGACTCACAAGTGTGTGATCCACTAAAATAAGATACTGCATAACACTGCCTCCGACCAAGGGTCCCATTTTATAGGAAAGGTTATCAATGAAAACATGACTATGCGATTCACTGTTCCTGTCACATACTCCACCCTACAGAAGCTCCATCCTGGTGGAGTGATGACATGTCCTCTTAAAGGAGAGGACACCTTGCAACATTGGGTGTTATCCTCCAGGATGTACTATTCTCCTTAAATCAATGGTCACTATGTGGTTGTGTCTCTAATAGATAGAATATATGAGTCCAAAAATCAAGGGCTGAAAGTAGAGTGACCTCAGTAATCCACTGTATGCTTCCCATTTCTACAACTTTAGAATCTGTGGGTCTAGAGATCCTGGGTCCTAGAGGGGAGAAAATGAGTCCCACTAAACTTTAAGCTATAGCTGCTACCAAATTATTGCAGATTCCTTATGCCAGTTAACTTGTAGGCAAATAAAAGAGTTACCATACAGATAGGGGTAACTGGCCCTGATCATGATGGTGAGAGAGGGCTTCTACAAAATAATCGTGATGCAGATAAATATTTGGCACTCAGGTGACCTGATGGATCATTTCTTGGTAGTCTCATACCCAGGTTTAACTGTAAGTTGAAAAGTACAGCAAACACAGCTCAGTAAGGGCATGGTAACCCTCAGGACCTTATACCCCTCAGTGAGGGTCTGGTCATTCTACCAGGCAACCCAGAAGGGCCTTGATGAAGGGTTCAAGGATTGGGTGGAAGAGTAAGGAGATGATGAGAATCAGCTATACAGTCTTGGGACCAAATGCGTAAGTGTGGGCTGCGGTTTGTCCCACTGTCCCTCTTTTTATTTATGGCTCCAGGAATTGTGACAACAGAATTCAGAAGAAACTATATCTGAATGGAGCAAATTTAATGTGAGAAGCAAGTGGACCTGAGCAGTGCAGGGGGCAAACAAACTGTCATAAATGCTGTGTTGCCCGCCCAGATTTGTGTCACGGGGGCATAGCACTGTCTCTTAGCTGCTGTGAATGTTGGCTGCTGTAGCAAATCTTTTAAAAACACGATTTAAAAGATTTTCCCTTCCCCAATGTTCTCCAACACAGTATCATTCAATGTTTTGTTTGTTTGGTTTTTCTCCATAAATGAGTTTTGGTTCTAAGCAAGTAATTCGGCAGTTATTTGGTTGAACCTCTTATGATGTTGGTGTTATTATCCCCATTTTACTATGAGGAAACTGAGGCATGCAGAAATTCATTTAATGAACAGTTTCTTCTGTACAAAGATTCACCTCATTAATGCCTTAAACAAGATAGACATTATTTTATTTATTTATTTTTGTGGGAAATAGGATGGAGGTAGGTGATCCAGGGCTGCTAGATGTGAAAATAAATGAAATTTAAAATTTATTGGAATCCCCTAGACACTTTAAGCCTTGAGAGAGATGTGACTGTGATCTGAGCCAAATGTGATTACAATCTCTGTTCTTAGATTAAAAATTAACTTGCTTTATCATTTTTCTTGTTCAGTTCAATGGCTACAGAGAATTAAATATCAGGGACAAAACCTCCTGCCTTCTTAATTAATGTCCCTTATTATAGATTAATTTCTCCTTTGTTGTCTTGCTTTGCCTAGACCAGATGACAGAAAACTCATGGTTATTACACCCTCTGTAAGAACGTGTTAAGTGTACCATTCCCAGAAAGAAATACTGCCTATAAGCAAATTGCTGTATGTGCCAACCTTGTATGAATAATGTAATTCTGCTAAAATCTCCTTTGTCTCTGCCTATAGAAATAAAACCTTAACTTCCTTACTTTTGTACGCTGACTCTATTCCTTTGGAGATGGTGTTTCTGGGTGGTCCGTCTTCCCACTTGAGCTTGAAGAAACTCTCTTTAAGTTAGATTTTGATTATTTTAGGTTGACATAGGGAACTTCTGCCATCCTCAGTTGGTGTCTATTTCTGGATCCAGGATGGTTGCTTTGGTTCCCACACTCATGTTCTCATTGCAGAGGGAAGAAAAGAAGAGCATAAAAATGCATGCTGTTTATTTAATGAATGTTACCTGGAAATTGCACACTTCCACTCGTATACTTTTGGCCGAATACAGGTATACAAAAATACCCACATCCAGAAAATCCCGGGAAATGGAGTCTTTAGGTGCCTAGTGGTGTCTTTGAGTTCTCTATTACCAAAGAAAAAAAGGAGAGAATGGATACTGGAATCGCTAGCCAAAGGCATGTACTTGGTTGCAGTACATCTGAGATTCAAACCAAAGTCTACGAACTCCAAGCTGTACTGTATAGCCCTTGGCACCTAGCTGGACCACAACAGTTTGCCCTTTGAAAAATTTCTTGGAATATGTTCCTGTCAGAATTTCATTTCTAGATATCTCTCCAGGAGTGTAGCAGGGTGTGTGTGTGTGTGTGTGTGTGTGTGTGTGTGTGTGTGCGCGCGCGCGTGCGCGTGTGTGTTCTTTTATTAGAAAACAAAATTATTTAACTTAATTTATTTCTTTTTCTTGCTGTAGCTATCAGAAAACCTGAGCTAAATTTAAAGCCATTGCTATTGTTAGTGAAAAAGTTTCTAAACCTGTTTTACGCCTTCCTCCACTGACTTCACTTAGCGGTTTCTTTCTCTCCTGCCTTCTTTCCCAGACTCTTTCTTCCTTCCTTTCTCTTTCCTTCTCACCACTCTTGGTGTCACTCTATCTCTTCTATTCTCAAAAGCTCTGGTGCCTGTTGTTTCCTCTCCATATCCCCACTGCCCATATTTTGAGAAAGAATAAGCCAAGCAGGGGATGGGAATGGGGTGGGAAAAGAGGATGAAGACAAGTGGTGAGTCAAAAATGTCCCTCTCACATATTCATTTTTTAAAACTTTAATTATTAGTTTTTATTACACAAGTAATACATGTTCATTGTAGAAAAATTAGAAAACACAGAAAAGCAAAAAGAAAAAATAATCACCCATAATCCCACTACCCATAGATAACTACTATTAACATTTTAGTATGTGTCCTCCTAGCTTTCTTATGCATATATATATATACATACATAGATATATTTATATATAATTTTCTTTTTACAAATATTGTGTCATACTATACATACTGTTTTATAACATGTGTTTTTCATTTAATATATATTGTGAACATCATTGTTTATTCCCTGAAAAATTATACAGATACTACATGCTCATTGTGGAAAAATTAGAAGTTACAGATATGCAAAAAGAAAATATAATTGCTCCAAATCTCACCTCCCAGAGATAAATGCTGTTAACACTTTGGCAAGTATCCTTTCAGACTCTTTGATGCACACATGCATACACATATTTTTAAAAAGGGATCATACTATAAATATTCCTCTATAACTTCCTTTTTCATCTAACAATATAGCTTTTACATTTCAATTAATACACATATGGTGCGTATTCTTAATTGGTGCACAATATTCCATTGAAAGGCTGTACCATATTTAACCAACCCTATAAAGTAGGCTTATTTACATTTTTCCACTTCTCCAAATAATGCTGCTATAAACATCCTTTCTTGCACATACTTTTGAATAATGAATAAATGCATCTTAGCTCATTTTATTTTCTGACCCATTTAAAGGAGTCTTTCCCTAAAGTGGAATTACTAGGCATGCAGGAAAAATATATTACCAAATATTTTTTTCAGAAAGGTGGAATCAGTTTATATTCCTGTTGACTCTGTAAGATGATGTTATTTCCATACTTCCTTTTTGTCCCTGGGAACTTTAATTCTTTATGCTCTTTGCCTTTCTGATTTGTAAAAAGGAATATATAGTATTAACTTACATTTTTTATTACTAGTATATTAAAACACTTTCATATTTATTATTAGTAGATTATTTCAGTTTACTGTGCATTGCCAGTTTGTGTCCTTGGTCCCATTTCTGTTGAAAAATTTGATTCTCCTTGAGTCATAAAATGTCATTTATTCATTCATTCATTATCCACTCTTTCAATAAGTATGTTTTCAGCATTTGCTTTGTGTCTAGCATTGTGTTAGGTGTATGGATACAACAATAAGCAAAATAGACAATGTTGCTGCCTTCTTATTCTTCCAATTTAATAGGGATTAACAGGCAATTAAGCAATAATGAAAATGTTCGATAGGTAAAGAATCAAATGGAAACAGTTGGTTGAGAAGGGGGTTGTAGTCATGGAAATGTCCCAAAAGTAGTGATGTTTAAGCTCTTGATATGTATTTGAGAGCTATACTTTTTGTTGCATATGTTGTTTTCTCATTTTGGTTTATTACTTTTTACTACATAAGAGTTTTGCATTTTTAATTAGTCAAATTCCATCCATCTATTTTTTTCTGTTTTTTTTTCTTTTGGTGTCACTCAAAGAAAGGCTTTTTTCACACTAAATTCGATAAATATCCACCCACTTTGCCTGCTAGTCTGTTGTATGCTTATTTATGTGCTTGAATATGTAAATCCTTATTTCATCTGGAATTTATTCTGATAATAATTATGAGGTATAGAAATTTCTCTCAATAAATGGCTAACCAGTTATCCCAATATAAATTAATAATCCGAACTTTTTCATCTATCTGGAATGTCATCTTTATAATATACTCAATTATTTTATATTATTAGGTCTATTATGGTCTATATATTTAATTCTAATGATCTATCCTGAGGCCAATAGTATCACAGCTTTTTCGCATGCTACCTATGGTTACCTGAAAGTTCAGCATTTTGTATTTGGTGACATTCCTAAGACAAAGAAATGATAGATATTGCTTGTGTGTGTGTGGGTAGTGTGGCAGGTTTGGCTGGATGATATCTTAATCCTTTCAATGTTGGCACTTTCAGAGTTTTAAATTCCAGATGGGCTCATTGTTAATCTGGTCAATTTGTTTGCTGTTTATAACAAAGTAGATGCTTTTACATTCTTTTGTGTCACTCTGAAGCTCAGCTTTCAGTAGGTGGCAGTATTGCCAAACACTGTTTCCTGATTGGTTTTATAGAAGCATAGAGAAACAAAATGGTCTGGCAATTTTAGAATTTACCCCAAGAGCTTTAATTGATTAGAGGAGGCATCAGGACTATGTTACTTCTAAAGCTCTCTATGTACCCCTGAATAATGGCATAACCAGTGGTTTGCAGTGAGTCGGTTCCTCACATGCAAAACATGACTGGACAGATTTTTTTTTTAAGTGACATCTTGGCCTTGTGGGCATTTCTTTACTTGTCTTACACAAAAGTGCCTTTGGGCCCAGCCCCTGACTGATTTAAAGCCCAGAACTGTGGTTTTAAACAATGTGGTCATGGTGGAATTCAGGTGATTTTTATTTTCTTTCTATTTGGTAGTATTTTTCAGATTTCCCACAAAGAACATGTATTGTCTTTGTAATCTGAAAAAAAATCAACATGGGATATTAAAGATATAGTGGGAAAATGGGTGAATGTATGCCACAGAAGTTTACATCCTTTTCTGTTTCAATCATGTGCACATGCGACAAAATGAGTTCAGTGTTCTCTTCTTACCCCTAGAGATCAGCTCAGTGTTATTGCTAATCTGAAAGAGAATTACCAGCAGGAAGCAGAGACAGTAGAACTTTATCGCTTGGAACCACACCTGAGAAAATCCTTTGGTAGGTGAGAGGAGAGTGGGACAGCTCCTAGGGGATGTATTGGCTTATCTAAGGGGAGACGGTGAATTACCTACTATGTAACCATGAGACAGTGTAGGTTATCAGGATTTTGAGCACTAAACTTAATTTTAGGATATGCTACTGAAAGAGGATCTATAAATCTTGGAGTTTACCTGCAGGAACTACAAAACTGATCAAAGACTGGAAAACAGGCACTATGAATAAAAGATACGGTAGCTGAATATATTACCTTAAATATGCAAAGTCTGGCTAGGTAATTAGACAAATTCTTATCTCCATGAATAGCTACTACAGCCTTTTCAGACATGGAGGTGAAACCTGAATTTATTAACAGTCTTTAGTTGTACAAAGGACAATTGCACAGAAGGTAAGTGTTACTTTCACACTGAGACTAAGGTGAGAATGAACACACGTTAACCAAGCGAAAGTTATTTAGGTCAGGCATTTAGAGGAATGTGCTGAACAGCAAGATTGGGCTTATCAGTTAATAACTCTGCATGGATTAGTAGGAACTAGATTGAAGCTAGAGTTCATAGAAGTATGGGAGAGGGCTGAGGCAGGTGCTGAGAGCTGCCAAACTGGGCTACATCAAACTCTCAAAAACAAGGGATCTCAAATGAAATAGTCTTAGGGGATGAAAATGAATTAGATTCAGAAAAGGATATTAAGCTTAAATCAAGGTTTTCAGACCAGGGTAATTCTGGGTTGCTTGTTTTGCCAGGGAGTATTCACCCTAAGAGTCTTTAAATAGCCAAATAGTTTTACAAATATTTGATTCAGAAAATTGTGATTTTCTCATACAGCTTTCCATGGCTACTTCTTTTTTTGAAGCCAGGTATGCCTATAACCATGCATTAGTTACTGGTTCATTAGAACACAACTCTAGATTCAAAGAATAAGGCCAAAAACCAGCTGGTATGATCTAAATAGAGACCTGTGTAACATTCTCTTCCAACCCTTTAATTCCTTCACTTTGAATTAAAAGAGCTAGAAGAAAATTCCAAGTATAATTTTCACATCAGATATCAGGATGAGCTATATGAAATTGCCATTTCGTAGGTCAAAACAGTCAAATATAGGAAATTTCATATAATTCAACCTAATACAATAATTATTACAGTAGTGTTCATCCATACCTTTCTTCATCTTCACTAAAGCTAAAGGCCTTAATATATTTAGTTTTTAGGTCAAAATATTGGTATACATATAAATGTCTGTGCATATAAATATTGAGAAAAGCATAGGGTTGGGATTAAAGGTGTGTCTTAGATAAACCACTTATAGGCATCTAGCTCAACCTTCTATTGTACTAGACACTGGTGCCTCCTGTCTGACTTGAAGATTTTTCAGACCATGGAAAACAAGAAAAGAAGTGCAAAGACTTGATCTCTTAACCCAAGGGAAATTTTGTCTGAGAAATGGGCCAAAGGAAGAACAGGGGAAAGTATAACAAGATTTGTACCATGTTATAAGTTTAGTGAAGAAAGATCACAACAAAGCTGTGAGCAGAAAAACAAAGCATGTGGCTTCCTCCTTTCTAAAATGTAGTATTGCTTAATGTGTCCTGCTTTCAAGAGTCTAAGTGTAAGACAAGACACCAAGTACACATTGGAAAAGTCTTATCTGCATAGTCATCTAAAATGAGACAAGCTTAGCTTAACTAAAAAACTTTATTAACAATGTAAAATGTTAAATATTGTTACGATCTGAACTAATTCCAGCATGCCCTATAAGATTTAATACTATGCTGATGTGCAGACACCATGCTTCAGATTTCAATTAGAACAAAATGTAATAATATTTGATTTTACATTTGAGGGTAATTGTATATGTTACTACACCATTTCCTAACTGGATTACTTCATTCTCCAAGAAGCTGAAAAAGACACCATTGGATCAAAAAGAAATTAGTTGCCCATATGCATTTGTACGAAGGTATTAGGATTATTGTGTATTTACAAAATTTAAGTACTTTTTGTATGTGGCTTTTGTTGCATTATAAATTAAGATACTTTCATGTTGAAGCTCTTAGATTCTGACAGAATGGAAGACTAAATGTAAATGAGTGCAGAGAAAGCAATAGGTGAGGTGGTATATGTTTGCTTATAATATTATTTCTAATGATATTGATAGATTGGTTTTCTGAACACAGTTTTTCAGTTTTAAATAGATTTCTATGTTTAAAGACTTCTTTTATATATGATAATTTTTAACATGAGATCAGCAAGAGCTATAGATATACTATTATATGTGAAATATTTTTCCTCTGTATAATACATTTAAAAAAACCTTTAAATAATTTAAAAATCATAAATCTTGCATCTGTCATGGCATGGTTTGGAGCAGACATGCACAATGTCAGCTTTAAAATTTCCTTTTAAAAACAGCCTGCTTTTTGAATCTGTTCTTTTTTTTCTTGACGGCAGCTGCTTTCAAGTGTAAAATCATTTAAAAGGGCAGGGGGAGGCGGATAAAAGTAATAAGGAAGCATAGAAAACATAGTCAAAAACCAATAACTGTGTGGTTCAGCTGTCTGGAGGTCCTTGGGTTTTGTGATTTTTTTTCAGATGTTCTCAGTGGGTTTCCAGGAGGAGCCACCTAGCTTGAGACGAGACAACACAGCCCAAAGAACCGTCTCTTCCGTCTTCTCACCAGGGGGTATGGAGTTAGATTCAGAAGGCTGCTGTCATCTGTGATGAGACAAAATGTGCACATGAGTGAGGTATAGACACAACCACCTGCTTTTTAGGAAGTGGCTTAAAAAATCCACTATCCTCTTAATCAGGATTTGTCAACCTCAGCACTGTTGGCATTTTGGACCAGATAATTCTTGGTTGTGGGGGACAGTCCTGAACCCTGTGGGATGGTTAGCAGCATCCCTCAACTCATCAGATGCCAGTAGCACTGTATGACAATTTGTGACAATCAAAAATGTCCCTAGTTATGACCAAATGTTCCCTGAAGGAGAGGCAAAATAGCTCAAGGCTGAGGGCTACTGCTTAAAATTGAACTGAAACTGCTTAGAGGCAGTCTTTCAGTTGGGAAACGTATATATCTTATTGGAAAGAACTCATGCTTATGAGTAAGGCTGGCTTCTTTTCTAAACCTGCCTCTGCTATTTGCCAATTCTGTGACTTTGAACATGTAACTGAAGCTTGCTGTCTGTAAAATAGGATTTAATAAAACTTAGCCCAGGTGAGGATTAGATGAAATAATCTATGAAAAACATTTAGCCATGGTGGGTAGCTTAGTGTCTAGCACAGAGGAAGCATTTAGTTAAAATAGCTATTATTAACTATTTTCCTTTACATTGGATCATTATTGTGCCTTCATCCACCGAATTCATGTCTCTTCATGTGTCAATTATTTCCTCTTGAGTCTTTTCTCAGCACTTCCTATAGATTTCTGTATACAAGGGCATTCAGAAAAGACTGCCAGCTGTTGAATTAATATGTTTTGGTTTGAGATTTTTAGGATGATGATGAGTAGAGGAAGAAATGAACCAGTAAATCTAATCTGGTTCAAAGAGTTGGGTTTTTTTTTTAAAAAAGTGCAATCCAAAAGAGAAGATGGGTAGAAATATCCTGTTGAAACAGAACTGGCCGATGTGGGTTCAAGACACAAAGGACTACAAAAGGATAATCTAGAATTTTCCAACCAGGGCAGTGCTAGGACGTGGTCAGACTGGAGCTAAGGTCAACAAAATGGTTGATTGGCATTGGTGACTGTTAATGTACCTAAGCTTTGCCAAGACTAGTTGCATTTTCCTTCCAGAGTGGGGTAAGGAGTTCCCTCCTTTCCTCATCCTAATCTTAAAGGGGATGGAAGCTTGGCTAAGGGCACAGAAGCAGAAGTTAGATGAAGAGATAGCTAAAATGAAGAATGTGCCCCACCTCAATAGAACTGATTTGTAGAAGAGGGCTTGTTTTCCTTATTACTGAGCCTAGATGCTGTAAACCAAAAATAAAATTGTAAGTCCTCTCCAACCACCTGAATGGACCCCTCCTCTCAGCCGATTGCATTCCAAAGTTATCTTGAAAAACTAGTTCAAGCCATGTTGGGAAGAGGCAGTTGAACTTTCTTCATTATACTCTCCTCCCATTTGGGATTCAGACAAAGCTGACTGGAGTTAACATCACACAGAGACCTTAAGACTGATAGAACAGACTCTTTAAGTCTGATAAGAAATATTTATAATTTATTTTCTCTGAAGCCTGCTACCTGGAAGTCTCATCTACATGATGATAAAACCTTGATCTCCACAACCCCTTATCATAATAACCTAGACATTTCTATTGATTTCAGATCTTTAGATAATAACTCAACCAACTGCCAATCAGAAAATCTTTGAATCTGCCTATAACTTGGAAGCCCCGCTTCCAGTAGTCCTGCCTTTCCAGACCAAACCAACATACATCTTATTTGTATTGATTGATGTCTTATATCTTCCTTGGTATAATACCAAGTTGTAGCCTGACCTCCATGGGCACATGTTCTCAGGACCTCCTGAGGCTGTGTCATGGGCATGTACTTAATCTTGGCAAAATAAATTTCAAAATTGATTGAGACTTGTCTCAGATGCTTTTTGGTTTATAATGCTCAGAAAACTGCCGAGAACAAAAATAGATCCTGGCTTTCCAGTCTTGTTACATAAAGTTTCATCTAAGTGCCTGGGCTTCTCCTCCCCTTCCCAAAGGCTCTAATGTGTCACACTTACTTGTAAATTAGTATCACCCACCAAGGTTGACAGTGTTCCTTAGAATGTTGCACTATGTTATATATTTAGATAGAACTAGAGTAGCAAGTCCAAGCCAGAGAAGAAAACAGGCACCCCCGCTGGGCATATCAAATGAATCAAACACAGTCTACCCTCCCAGTCTCCAGAGATTAAAATCCTCTCTTAAAGCTCATATTCTGTTAACATGGAGAAAAATAGGACTGTAATTGTCCTTTCCATAGGGAAAATAATTTACTATAATCTGGATGTCAACATTTTGAGAGTGAAAAAGAGGATATCTTTCTTTTAAAGTTAACTTGCCCCCAAATAGTTAAGACACTGAAAACAATGTTAGATACTAAGAATTAGCCTCATTTTTCAGGAGAATGTTTCAGAGATAGACCATGAAATATTTGGAGCAGAAAGAAATAACTACTTTTCTCGTCATTTTTAGGACTCTTACTTCTTTAACCATGAATTGATCAATGTATTTAACCTGGTTGGATATGGCAAAGATATAGCAAACTCTGAAGGGTACAGAATTTTACCTTTCAGTATCTCCTTGGACTCTGACTGACCTTTCTGAAACTCAAATTCACCCAGATCTCAATGCTTCCCTAAAACAGAGTCACCAAAACTATGAAGATATTTATGAGAAAGAAAGATATTCATAGTGCTCTTTATTTAAGACTTGGAAGATCTATTTTCTGAGTTCTGGTATCTCCTTCCCTTTCCCAAACAATTATCTGATTTGTGGAGGGATTTAAGAGGTCTTCATATGTTACAGAATGCAACACTGATGTATTTTGCTCCTGTTAAATGAGGAAATGTCTACCACAATGTTATATTTACAAAGGAAAATGTATATGTTTATGTTGTGGTTGTATGTTTAGTTCCACTGTCTTGTTTTTGTATATATTAAAAGCAAGTAGGTATTATACACAGACATGAAATTTTATCAAGATCGACCCTTATATCTGTGTATTTATTACAGTGGATTGAAAAAAAACCCAAAGCCTTTCAATAGCACAGCCTTTTGTGCTATTGAAATTCTCCTTGCTCAGCTTTCTTTATATATATATATATATATATATATGTGTGTGTGTGTGTGTGTGTGTGTGTGTGTGTATAATCAGATATACATGTATATATATACAGCACATGTATACACATTATGTACACATACATACACAATATACATATTTATGTCTGTGTACTCTATGTCTCTCTCACAAGTGAATAGAATTGTTAGGATTGATGAGAAAGTGCTCAGATGTTAAGCAAAGGGTAGGCTGCCCATTAAGGACAACTGCTGGTTTTGGGCATCTTTGTTGCACATTTGTGACACCTTTGCCTTGCTTAGAGCTTGTCTGACCATCACCTAAGGCTGAGGTGATAGAAAAGCTCAGAAATTCTTGGCAGAAATTCAGAGCAGCTTTCTATACTATGGGGAGCTGACACGTGCAGTAAATGCTGAAATTTACCAGCCAGTAATGATGCCTGGGATGGTCTAAAGTGCATCCAGCTCCAAGGAAATGTGTCTCTCCACATTGATTGAAATCCTGTCTCTGAAGGCCTATCTCAGGAGCTCCGGGGTAGGGCCAGAGAATCAGCATTTCTTACAAGTTCTCAGATACTGCTCCTAGTCCTAAAACCACACTTTCAGAACCACTGAATAAACAGAAGAGCTGCAAGAATGTAAACAAAAGGGAATGTTTCCCACTCATTCTAAATTTTCTGGAATTATCCACTTGACCTTATCAGAAAACCTTTGATTTTTATTGCAAAAATTTGTTTAGATGTGGCTTATAATTAAAACTTTTCTAGCATCTTTTCTCCAAAGTACGCACTCTCAGAAAACTATAACCTAAGACAGTTTTAAATGTGAAAATGAAAGGTGGAAAGGGAAGCAGAGTAAATAAAGCATAGGAGAAACTTAAAAAAAAAAAAAGTAGGAAATTTGGCCACCAGTAAGTTCAAACCTCAGTCATTCAATGTTTAATTCTTTTATAGTATTTAAAAAATTTTTATTTATTTTTGGAGAGACAGGGTTTTACTATGTTGCCCAGCCTGGTCTTGGACTCTTGGCCTCAAGCCATCTTCCCACCTCAGCCTCCCAAAGTGCTAGGATTATAGGAGTAAGCCACCATGCCCAGCCTCAATGTTTAATTCTTGAATGCTGCTAAAGCCAGGGACACTGCAATTCCCCCAAACCACTTCTCCATTGCTCAAATTTATTTTGCTAATAAAATATTACTTACACAAGTGATGAGAAATGCTTCCAATACACTGCAGTTACACATTTCTATTCCAGGGGAAAAAAGAGACCCTCAGGTAACCCAGTGGTTCGCAAACATTAGCTGCATCAGCATCATCTGAGGGCTTGTTAAAGCACAGATTGCTGATCCCACCTCCAGAATTTCGGAATCAGTAGCTCTGGGGTGGGGCTAGCGAATCAGCATTTCTTACAAGTTCTCAGACATTCCTGCTGGTTCTAAGAGCACACTTTGAGAACCACTGAATTAACAGAAGGCCTGCTAAGTACAAGGCTCTACATTGGGTACTGAGGATAATGCCAAGATGGGTCCTAATAGAAAGATGGTCCCTGGCCTCAAGGACCTTTCCTTGAGTAATTATGAGGCTTCATGAAAAATACCATAAGAGAGATCTGAATACATTGCTGTAAAATTTCCAGGCAGGGGAAGTGGGGAGATTCCTCCCATTTGTAGGAGAAGGAAGAAGATGTTTGTGGAAGATTCATGGAGGCCCTGGTGTACATGCTGGGCCATGAGGAATGAGAACATGGACATTTGGTGAAAGTGGCAGGGGATAGGCATTCTGAATGGAGGGAACAGTGTGAATAAAGAGAAGTGATCAAGGGCAGCCTATATTTGGGTCCAAGTGAACAATCCAGTCTGGCTAGAATGAAGGGCTTGTGAAGGAGGAGATAACCCCACACAGAACTACTTAGAA